TTTGGCCTAAACCCGCAGGACTGCACACTCTGGATTCACATGTGCTCCAGGTCAGCACGGCCCCGAGCACCGACTTCTTCCGCTCACTTCTGCCTTCGTCATCACATTGCATTGTATCCATGGCACATCACATTGATGATCTTTTCCTCTTGTGAAGACTCCCAGGGGGCTGACACAGATCCATGTAAATCTCACAACAACCCTGTGAGGTAGGTTAGGCTGAGAGTGAGTGACTGGCCCAGAGCTTTATGGCCAAGTGGGGAGTAGAAGCCGGATCTCCCAGGACCCCCGTCCAGCTCTCTTGCCACCACGTCACACTAGCTCTCGTTCTGGAAAAGGACCCTTCCTTACCTTTCTAATAATGGCTACAGAGGCCCCTTTCTATAAATGGCGTGTAATCCGAATTTAGAATGAGGACAGAGGATACGAGGCTATGCTTGCAACGAGGCACGAGTGTCAATAAATTCAGAGAGCCATGGATTAAGTCAGGATAAATCGTAATGAGCCCGAAAAGCTGGGAAGGTTTTACGGCCATGATGGCTCGGGGAGGGGGGACGGGGAGGTCCTGGAGAGGGAAGGGGGCTCTTGGACAGGTGCTCCTGGAAGACAGAAAGGGCGACATGGGAGCCAGGGGGCATGGATGCAAGCAAACAGGTGCAGAGAGACCCCAAAGCCCATTAGCCGCGTTCAGTAAAAAGAACTCGCGGCTTCCAGACGTGGCTCGGGGACAGAGCATCGGCTCTGTGGGAAGAACCCTGGACTGATGGGCGGCATCTTTGGGCAGGGGTGAAATTCTCCCACCGGACACCCTGGTCGGCCAAGACTGCCAGCTGGGGTCACCCAGAGGGACCCCAAGGTCTGGCTAAGGCAATTTCCAATGTTCCCAGTTCCTGTCCTTCCTGGCTAAGCTGGCTGGGGCGGATGCAGACTGCATCCCAACAATGATACAGGGCGGGGCTTAAAGGGGGAGAAAGATGCAGGGGATCCACAGGAAGCACAGCCCCTGTGCATTTCAATTTCGGGGAGCATCCGGGGTGAAGCCCCCTTCCTGCAATCTGATTTTGCCGGCAGGGGACAGAATCGGCACGAGCTCGGCTGGAGAAGCCGCAGCCTCCGAGGACTGCATCCACGCCTCAGGTCCTCCTCGCCACATCCCAGGCCCTGCGCATGGTTGAGGCGTGAGCCAGGCCCTGAGACCCAGCATGTTCTGCAAGACATGAAGACCCAAGAACAGCCTTGATCCAGCCGCCGCTGGCACAGACGCTCAAGGGGAGCAGGGAGCCGGGCACCATCTCCAGCTTCCGCTGCTCGGACACGCGCCTCTCCTGCAAGCCGCACCGTCGCGATGGCGCAGGGACAGCCTGCCTTCGCTTGCCTCCGGGCTTCATCCCGTTGGCAGGAGGCAGCGGCCACGCCAGTCTGCGTGACAGACACACTCCGCAAACGTGGACTGCTGCCAGTGGTGGCAGAGGAGACCGGGAGGATGAGGAGCCGACCAGGAGCAAAGCGGAGATGCCCTGCAAGGGAGTTCCAACGTGCCCGAGGGATTTGTAAACTCTGCTTAGGCTACTGCAAGATTTTTGTGTGTGGAATTTTTGCATGGCAACTTTTTAATGATATTTTTATGTGGTTTGTATTTTATACTGTCTTTTTATGTGCTGTTGGAAACTGCCCAGAGAGCTTCAGCTATTGAGCAGTATAGGAATAAAAGGATAAACACACACACACTTTAAATTACAGTTTTCCCCTCTTGACAGCTTACTGGGCTCTTCAGAGGCTCAGTCCTGTGACCTCTCATGTCCCCCACCTTCTCCTTTCTCCCTCACATGGCTTGCAGAAAGGTTTCTTATTCATTCTCTTCCCTTTAATTTGTCTCCGTCTGTCTCTCCAGTATGAGCCTGGCAGGCAGGGCCTTAAAGCAACAGATGGTAACACGAAGAAACTCTGCCCGACCAATAGCGTGGGGGTCAGAGTGCCGGACTAGGGCTCAGGACACCTGGGTCCTAATCGCTATTTGGCCCTGCAGCTCACCGGGGGCTTCCGGACTGTCCCTGACTCTCAGCCTGACCTACCGCACAGGGTTGTTGTGAGCATAAAACAGTCGGAGGGAAAACTGTGAGCTGCCTTGGGATCCTTATTAGGTTGAAATTTTTTATTTAAATAAAAAAGGAGGAGAGATAGGAAAGTGGATGAGTGAAAGAATGCAGTACAGAAGTCAGGAAGGGATTTAGGTTTGGAGTGGGTGACCTGATCCCCTCTGCATTTGTTGGACTACAACTCCCATAAGCCTGTCCACCTGGCCGATGGTCAGGGATCATAGGAATAGTCATGGATGGCTTCCACTTAACCTAGCCTCCCCAGTGGTTGTCGGGGGCAAGGGAAAGGACAACAGCAGGTGGACAAAGGATCACACCAGGTCTGGAAGCTGCAGCAACTGTCCCTAAAGGTACTTAATCCTGCAAGTACCCCCCCCAACCATGACCAGGTGGGGGGGGGCGTGGGGCCAGGAAGCACATGCTCCCAAAAGTATTACCGCCATGGGCAAGCTGCGAGCTATGAGGACGGACCCCATGGTCCCTGCCACAGAGAAAGACAAGAAAGGCTTGGGGTGCAGACAGGGAAAAGCTCCCCACCACACTTCCATGCTGGCTGGGGATGCTGGGAGCTGTGGCACTTTTTTCTGCTCGCACATGCATAGGTGTGCATCCCTACAGACAAACATTTCTAACGGCACAGGTTTCTTGGCCTGGAGTCTGCTTCCTCAGATGCACGAGAGAGCTCTTCAAATAGCGGATTATATATAGACCCGCAGAAGTGTCGAGGAAAAATATAGTGGGAAGAATCAAATAGCAGTGCATGGGAAAAATGCAGGTCTGACAACCCAGTCAAAGCTAAACATGTTTGCAAGACCAGTGCCCGTTCTCTGCTAAGAAAAAACTACAGGGGGCAGGAAACCACGTCTCCCTTTGTGACCAGGCAGACAGAACGAAGCTTCTTCAGATGTTCTCATTTAGTAATTTTATACACAGGCGTGCCTTGTGAAATTCCTTTGCTGGAAAATGGCAAGTTCAAATTCCTGTAAGTATCTCTTTGGTTTGCACTGTGGCAAACCAAGAGAGCTCCCTGAGTGACGGACTCCGGCAGTTCATCCATGTGGCGCTTGCACACACAGTTTTCCCACAGCTATTATCCCAAAGCGCTGCCCCCCCCCAAGCCAAAATGGGGCTTCCAGAGACTTTAATGGTGTTGCCTTTGAACACGCTAGATATTACAATCTTTATAGCACCCCTGTAAGGTAGAGCCAGATGGAGAACAGAGGAGCGAGTGGTACGCTGAAGAGAAATCAGGGAACAATCTGATTTAGAAGAATAGACAGAAGAATAACGCAAGGGCTTTTTGTGCCATAAAATGCACAGGATTGCATGCTTAGTGAACCAAAAGTAGAGGTGAGATTGTGGTAACTTCTGTGATCAAAAGTTCCAAACCTGAATCCGGCCCATCTCTTCTCACTCACATCAGCAGTGACAAGTATCCACCCCACAGACTGGCCTTCCCCGACCCGGTCCCTTCCAGACGTGCTGGGCTGCAATTCCCATCATCCCCAGCCAGCAAGGGCAAAGGAAAAACGTTTCAGTAAGATGGCAGTGCTATCTCAAACATTGCAGAACTCAACTATTTTCAACAGGTTTACTGCAGGAATCTGAATGTAGGACAAATTCTAGCCATGGCGAGAAAATCCGCTTTGGGGAGGGTGTTCTGCAGACAGGGGCTTGCCAAGGTGGCCTGGCCCTCGGCCTTCTACATGGAACATATTTTCCCTTTAAACACGGGACTCTCTTGCCAACTGAAACTGGGAACCAGCTCCTTTATCTCCGTATTCCGTATTCCAGCGGGTCTCAGAGCTTCCACTAATTCCTAAGGGAGTCTACGCAACTTGATCCGTCATCCTACTCGGATGGGTCACAACATCTCAGAAAGCCACAGGAAAAGACGGGGCTGAGGCTGGACATGCCAGGAAAGGGGAAGAACGGCGGGTTAGGGAAAAAAAAAAAGGGGGGGGGGAATGCCTTGCTGCAGCTTCAGCACATGCGGCACACAAACAGCCTGTTTCCATTTGCATCTGGATCACAACACTGCTAGCTGGCACATTTCCCCTGCCTCCCCCGAATCATGTTCGGCAGTCCACTGGATGTCCCTGGGCATGTACAGACTGTTTCTCCGGCTCGAGCAGCCAAGGTCCGCTCCTCCGGGAGGGAAAGCTGGCAAGGCTGACGCCGGGGACCGAGGCTGAAGCGAGCTTCCCTTCCAAGGACGGGGCGCTGCCGAAAGCAGCGGTGGCACCGAAATGTGCGCCGTTCTGGATGGCCCTGCGTGGCCCGGGAGGGAGTTTCTGCCCCGACGTGCGGCCGAGCCACACTCGGGGGGCACCAGGGCCTCCCCCGTCGCACGCGCGCGCGCAGCGCTCCTTCCAGGGGCCCCCGGGCCGCCCGGCGGGGCCCTCGAGCGGCGAGCTGCCTGCCAGCCCCGCGAGCCGCGCAACTCCCTCGCGCAGCCCCAGGGAAAGTTTGCCCCCTCCGAGCCGCGGCCCCCGAGCGAGGCGAGCCCCGGAGCCTCCGCCGGCGGGAGCAAGCCCCGCACCCGCGCCGGGCGACCTCGGGGCCCAAGCGGGGGGCGCCCCCTTCCTTCCGCCCCGGGCGCGGCCGGACGGCGGGGAGAGCAGCGCCGCCGCCCCGCGCGGGCGCCCCACGCGCGCGCCTGCCCGCCCTCCAACTTGCGCGCCTGCCGCGAGGGACCGCGCTCGCCTCGCCTCGCCGGCCGGAGTGCCCGCCGCCCGCCCCTGGGAGGCGACCTCCGAGCTCCCGCGGTCCCGGTCCGCGCGCCCGGGCTGGCCGCCGAGCACGGCGAGGCGAGCGGGGACGCGGCACTCGCTCTCTCCCGGGCTCGGCGCGCCGGCGGCCGCCTCGACGCGGCGCCCCGTTCCGCCCCGCGCCGCCTCTCACCTCCGCTGGGAAGCCGCCGCCGCCGCCGCCGAGGAAGGGCTCCCGCAGCCGGCGCGGATGGTGCCAGCGGCCGCGCCGCCCGGACGAGCCGCCGCGTCCCTCCCGCGCCGCCCTCGCCCCGCTCCAGAGCCGACTGGAGCCCGGATCGCCACACATGGCGAGAGCGAGGCGGGGACGAGACCACGCGCCGCCGGCGGGGGTGGCCGCGCGCCCTGCGGCCGAGGCGCCGGGCCGCGCGCTCTCCGCCTCTGTCCCGCCTCCCCCGCCGCCCTGCCTCGCTTGGTACGGCCCTCTCCCGGGGAAGCGCAGGAGAGCCGCGGAGCCCGCGCAGTCCCGGGGGGCGGCGGAGGGGCCCCGGGGCTCCGGGCGGGGCACTTGCCCGCTGGATCGCTGGCAGGCGGCGGGGATTACGCGGGAGCGAAGGGCGCAGGGGAGCACTCTGCCCGTGCTCAGAGGCACGGTTTAAAAGCACGTGAAAGGCGATGAAGGGAGAAACTGGGCTGTGAGGCCGTGCAAGAAGCCATTTGTCTGTCAACCCGCTGGTGAATGGAATCGTTCGGGGGGCGAAAGGGGGCTTCCTTCTTTGCAGGTGCTGTGCTTTGCGTGTTCAGGCGGCAAGAGTGGCCGGGAGTGGCTGCTCCTAAGCGTGCACAGAGTTGCCCTCAAAGTCTCACAAGAGGGACCACCTGAACGAGTGAGAAAAGCAGGTGGGGCGATGCCCCAGAGGGGGCTGGACACTCAGAGTTTTTGCAAGTCCTTGTATTTGAATAATAAACTTTGAATAAGTAACCTGCCAGTTTCATCAGCGAGCCTCATGGCCCCCTTCTTAAAAGATCACCTGGCTGCGTGTTCGCAGCTGTCCTGGTGGTGCAACCCGGATTCCCTTTTCCTGTTGAGCAGCTGCTCCTCCGAGTGGGTCCCCTCCCGCGCTTCGTTACCTGTCCAAGCTCCTGCCAGGTTTTCAGAGAAGAGAAACGAAGCGAAGTGGGTGGATCCGGGTGCCTCCCAAGGGCCCTGAGCTGCCTCCTCAAGAAGGAAGGACTACTCTTCCAGGAAAGCTCTCTCCCCACCTCACTGAATCAGTCTGACTGGGAATAGCAGTGGGGGTTCTTTGCAAGGTGGGCCTTGGGGAGGGTCTGGGCTCAGGGAGTGTGGCAGCGGGCCTGCGGGGAAGCCTGTGACCGAGTTCAGATGATAAGATAACCCACGTCCAGTGTAGGTTGTTGGAGAACAAAGTTGTTGCTGAAACGTGGGTTATCATGTCTGAACCCAGCCGAGAGAGCAAACAACCCGTATTTCACATCCTGACAAGTAACTGGGTTGTCAGGCCACTAATAAGCCAGCTTGCACTCAAGGGTTGTGTATGGCTTGTTGCAGAACTGTAGGTTAGTGTGTTGTCTTGCAGCAAGCCATGCTCAGCCCCTGAATGGGGCCAATCAAATTCTCTGAACCTTGTCTAGGTGGGCTGGTGGACAATCCTTGTAGGCCAGATCCCGGTCACTGGTGGGACATTCTCCATCCCTGACTTGGAGAAATGAGGAACAGCAAGAAGGCAACCTACCTTCTTGCAAGTCGCAACCTCTATGGAGCAACTGCATAGCAGCTATGAAGGCAACCTGCCTGTGGCCGGAGCCAGGTCTAAATGGGGCCAGACGAGCCACCTTTTCCCAATTTTCAGCACCTGATCCTGAAGGAGACTGAAGGTGGAAGGCATCTCACCTCCGAAACTGATAGATTTTAGAAATTTTGTAGCATTTTGTCTTGGCATCATCCAGACAGCCAAGCTGCATGAAAGACAAACCAACCGATTTTTTAAAAATCATTGTCAACTTAGCACATGTTTAGACAAAATAAAATAAATCCCACACTTTTCAGAATTTCTGTCTAAACCTGCACGGGACCATCTGGAGAACTTCATACACGCACAATCTCAGCCACGCTGCTGACGACAACCTTGCTAGGCAGGGCTGTTGTGGACAAGACATTTTGGGGGGCTTTCATTCACAGGGCACAAGAAGTCCGAGATGACTTGAGCACGCAGCGAGAACGTGGGCGGGGGGGAGGTTTTCTTGGTTACTGCACCCAAAGTCTGGGAATCCTATCCTAGGCAGTCCCCCTCATTCCTAGCTCTTGACTTTCCAGCACCACATGAAAACTCTTGTTTTGATGTTATGTTTGGCCTGCTAAATTTTCCCAGTAATGTTATCTAAGCAATACCCACCTAGCTATTTTGCCTTTTATTAGAAATTTGTAATTTACTGTATGCATTCCGCTATTTTATCTTATTGTTTTACATTGCCTTTAGCCATATTTATTTTTATTGCGATACAGAAAAATGCAAACTGCTTTGAATTATTTCAATGGAATGGGGACATACCAATATATATTTAAGAAGTGATCCATTAAATTGGCTGGTATTATTATGCCCATAATAGGGAGAGAGTGCTGAGCCAGATGGCGCATTATGCATATCGAGGTGAGTGAGCGAGTTTATGACTTCGGGTTTACATTGCAGTCTGGTGAACCCTTATCTGGGGGTAATAAATGTTCTCCAGGGGTGATATTCCCCTTGGGAGATGCTTTTGGGGGCCTTGCTCCAGGCAAGGTAGAGGCCACAAGGAGTATTTTAGTTTAAGGCTCGTACAGCCAAGAACTGAGTCTTCAGAGAGGCATTTCAGGCTGGTATGATGGAAGAAAAGCTTGCTTTCACTGGGGCACCCTGGCAGTTGGGGGACGGGCGTATGCCTGGGGGAAGGTCCTGTGCTCACCTGGGTCTGAGGTGCTCTCCTGTTGTCGAAGAGACCCGGGCAAAGCCCGTCACTTGGGCGAGAGTTCTGGAGGGGGGAGTTCAAACACTGAGTGTGTGCTCCATCTACCTGAGAAGGCCCATGGCAGGTAGATGAACGCAAAATTATAATATTTCGAGTAGCACCTGAGCCAGTTTCCCACAAAGCAGTGCACTTGCAAGCTTTCCACTTCGCGCTAGTGAAATCCAGCAAAGCGCTGAGCAGAAATTCGACAGCAGATTCTCCTAGTGTGGAAACCCGATGATGGGGATGATGGGGAAGCTTCCCCCCTGGAGCTTCTGCCTGTCACACAATTGCTGAAGGCCGGCAAGCGGTGCATATGGGCAACTCTGCATGTGTGTGTGTGTGTGGGGGGGTTGGGGGTGTCCAGCTCACACTGGGCCTGGAATGATTTGTGAGATGCAAAATGATTCGATGGCCTTTGCTTTGCTTCTTGCTCAGGACTGAAAAGGGGTCGGGACCATAGCAGTTCTGACACAGTCAAGCACATGGAAACTCATCCTGCATGGGAGCTGACGCCATTCAGCTCAGTGGGTTGACTTCTGAGTAAACACACAAGAACTCGGCCTTCCAAAGATGCCAAGTGAGCAGCAGGGATGGGCTGTTATGCCAATGGTTCTTAAACGCTTTAAGGGAGAGGAGGAAGATCAAGGCGTGAAACAGCGTGTTTACAACAGAGGAAGGGAGGTTGGTTTAAAATTAGAGAGAGAGAGAAGCAAGAATCTTGGGCAGCCATCCAGAATGTTTCCGTATATGTGGACAGATTTTAGGTATGGGGCCTCCTTTCCTTCCCCCCTGCCTCCCCCCCCCCCCCCAGCAGCCCCTTCCAATGTAACATTGCAAGGAATTTCTACTGTGTCAGGAGAAAATGAACCTTGCAAGAGGAAGGACAGGGACTGTGCTGCCAGCGTGGATTCCTCTGCAGGGCTGCCCAGGGTGGGGATCCGAGCATTTTTGGACGGTGCATGTCGCACCGGGGATGCAAGAGGAAGGCCTCCGCGAGGGGTCAAAAGAGGAAATGTGCAAGTCTAGGAAGGAGCACCGGGCTAACGTTGTTGCTTGAGTAGCTGTTTGTGGCTGCAGTTCATTACAAGGAGTGACTGCAGCGAAAGTTTTAGCATTCTGACAGTCCGATTCTCCGTGTGTTTATTTACTTATTTAAAGCATTTTTATGCTGCCCCCTTCACAAAAAGCCTCGGGGTGGCTTACAAAGAAAGTAGGCAGGACGGCATCAGCTGCACTTGCTCCCGAGGAAACGGGCATCGTTTCCCGAACATTGTGACCTGAAGAGAGTCAGCAAAACAGAGGTTGGAAATGAAGCAGCCAAGCTGAGCCGCAGGGAAGCTCACAACCGTTGTGTAAATAAAAACACCCGCCACTTGTCCCTTTATGAAATAGGAGATGAAATATATTTTTTAAAGCAACCTGCTGTGGGAGCCCTTGAGGGGAAATGCAGCCTGTGGTAAATAAAGCTGGCAGGTTTCGAAACTCAGGAGAGGGAGCTGGACCTGCCATTCACCTGAAATGCAGGCCTTCCCTCGCGCGCTCTGGGGGCGGCACGGTGCTAAATCTGCAAATGCAGGATGGAGATTCTGCGAGAGTCTGCAGGCGCTCGAGCGCAATCTAGGCCTGTGCCGCTCCGGTTTCTTCTGCGGCGAGAGCTGCATTTCAGCCAAAGCAAAACTACCGCATGTCTGTGGCCTCCACAGTCTTTCCCCCCCTTTCCTAGGTACTATTCTCCCCAGTTGTGCTGGAATTGAGCTTACTGAGTTGAGAAGCCCTCATGCAAAGACTGCTCTAAGGAAGTTGCCGCCACTTCCTTCGTTTCTGGGGGTCGGGCCTTTGGCTACTTAGGGGCTGCTTTACCGCTCCCTGGCCCCATCTTATCCCACAATGCTTTGCTGAGAGGAGGGGGGCCATCGAGGAGGAAGGCAGACTTCCCCTCACAGGCATTCCTTCAGTTTGACTCCCTGCCTCCTGGTTGGACCAGGAAATGGCTCCATCTCATGGGTGCTGAGCCTTTGGCCAAACTCAGCACACCTGGGAGCCCAGCCCAGCTTGGGGGGGGGGGTGTCCAAAGGGCCATTCCTTCCTTTCCCCTCACCATTTGGTGGTTCCTCCGCTTGTGCCCCCCCCCCTTTCCTCAATTTTAGCTCCTGGCAGTCTAAGCTGAAGGCTAAAACAGGTGGGGCTTTCTGGCTCCACCCCTTTCCTCTTTGGCCACACCCACTGCAGGTGTGTGGCCCCCAGAGCTTCTCTGAGCTGGAATTTGGCCCTCGGGCTGAAAGGGGCTCAATACCATCCTCTT